GTTACGGGGTGATCAGGCAGGCAAGCAGGAGAGCAGTTGTGGAGCCAGCAGTTCTGGATTGTGAGAGGCATGTCTGACTGCCCATTTAGGCCCACCAGGATCAGGCCTAAACGGGCAGTAGGACATCCCTCGAGGGGTCTCAGATTGGAGAGGGTGCAGGCTGGGCTGAGGGACACACTGCCCCCCATGCATGAATTTTGTGCACAGGCCTCTACTCAGCCACCAAACTCCCCTCTTCAAATCTACATGGTTTATTTATCATGCCTGTGTATGTACATAAACATTGTACCTCTGCAGGTAGGGAAATGATTTCTAAGAGAAGCTATGCAGCAAATACAGTTATTCTACAAATTTAGTTAACACACCACCTAAACCAGTTGTTTAGCTGTAGGGAAGTGGATGTCCTTGGTCCTTACTCGTTCATCTCTGTTTGCATGTGTGCTTGCATACATCCTATTTATTGCCTATCTTTTCTCACACTGCTCTCTGTTTAGAAAGCTTCCTCCCATTGCCAGCCAGTCTAAACATCATCCATACTTCTCAGAGGCTACCTTCTCTATCTTAAATATAAAGTCTTTCATGATGTATCCTTAGTTGGACAGCATCTCTTCCTTAAAACTTTTGTGGAATTCTTATGCCACATTCCTAATAGTGTTTCACATCCTGGGTCAGGGAGGGGGCAGAAACCATATCTGCATTGCCTCAGGGATCACTTGTAGAATTTTTTTGAGAGTAGGTGCTTAGTATCTGTTCTGGAATAAAGCAGAAAGGAAGAAACCCTGATATAGGCAATAAGGAAGAAAGGAGGGGCTTTTCTTAAGCCATTTCAAAGGAAAATGATGACAATGTAGAAACTCAAGGAAAACAGAAACCTCTTATTAATACAACTCACAGCTTTTCATGGACTCACTATTATTTAGAGTCCCATAAAATTTGTTTTATAAAGAACATTTTTAAAAAAATATATTTTATTGATTTTTTTCAGAGAGGAAGGGAGAGAGATAGAGAGTCAGAAACATCGATGAGAGAGAAACATCGATCAGCCGCCTCCTGCACATCCCCCACTGGGGATGTGCCCGCAACCCAGGTACATGCCCTTGACCGGAATCGAACCTGGGACCTTTCAGTCCTCAGGCTGATGCTCTATCCACTGAGCCAAACCGGTTTCAGCAAGAACAATTTTTAAAGAAGAGTGTTGTACTTTTGTTTTATTGACGACACTCTCAACACACAGGAAACACTTAGTAAATGCTTGCTGAATGAAATGCAAAATTCTGTACCAGGGAGTATGCAGTTTCCTGGTCTAAAGGTTTAAAAGCTTTCCTGCTGTGTAACTTTGAGGTGGACAGTCTGTCCCATCAGTACTTTCTCATCTGGAAAAAAGACAATAGTTTGACCCATTTTCTATGGATTTTTCTTGAGAAGGTCTACAAAGACCTTCAAACACTGAAGGGAAGAATGAAAAGGGACAATCAGTAACTGTTGACTAAACATTGAGAGCTCAACACATAAGTAACAACTTACAGTGATTCCATCTAGTCCAGGCAGCCCAGGATCCCCCTGAGAAACAGAAAAAGGCAGAAGAGTGAAGAGATTAATAAACCAAGTCTGTGGTATTTCATAGGTAACTGACCTAAAATGCTTGGGCATAAAAACGCTTTGCTGAAGCTTAGTCCTCTTCTGTCAAGGTTCTGTGTTTTAAATAATGTATGAATTGGACATATTCAACCATTTACTTTTTTCCTAAGAAAAGTCTAGAGTCTAGACTCTAAAAGGCAAATATTATAGCCTTGGTTGAACAGGATTTCATATTTTACTTGAATTAATTAATTTTTACTGTTTCTAGGAACTTATTAGAAACTGTTTTTGTGGACTGGTGATTTTCCTTCTCTTTTTGGAGGAAAGCAAGCTACGTTCCCATGTGCCCTCATCCCCAGAGAATCTATGCCCATATATATACACAATGCAAATAAGACATTTCAAGGGAGAATCAACAGAGCATATAGTCTCTGATTACATTTTAATTACTTTGCACCACCTTAAGTCACTGTATAAATCTATAATATAACCATCTTGTGGAAATTGCTGTGTTCTACTGGGTCCAAGGTCTCTTTTATTTTTGGCCAAACTATCTAATCAATGTTTGCTGTGACAATGGCCATATTTTGATACCTGCTAGTCTTACTGCACTTGGCTTATGGTAAAAAATCAGCTCTCTGCAGAACGGAAAGAACACTAACTGGCTGTGTGACTCTGAGCAAGTCACATAGCCTCAGTATATCTCAGCTTTTCTATCTGTAAAATGAGCAACATGAATCTAACAATCATGAGGTCTTTCCCAACTCTTACATTCTATCTTCTGCTGTGGCATCTATAGACAAGAGTTCGAATACTGTGCCTTTGTTAGTTCTCATCCAACCACCCCCATCATCCATTCCAAAGTGACTTCCAATGTTCTAATGTTCGAGGTTCTGTGTGTAGATGGAAGGCAGAAAGGTGCCATCCTCAGCTGAATGTGCTTGGATGCACCTTCCTCTCATGTTGGACACATAGATTTTGATTTTCTAGCAAGAAAATGATGGGCTTCTTTACCACTCTTTAAGGGAAATAGGGTCAATCATTTGGCAACAGAGTTTATTGAGGGCCCATAGGATACCAGGCAGTATAAACCAAGAATTCAGTCACAAGAATACAGAAGGTTTTTATCAATGAAGAGAGGAAAGTTTCTAACCAGCTTCAGAGTTGATGGGAAATTTTTGCAGACAGCCAGGGTCCCAGCTAAGGGTGATGGGCCTGGGTTCAGGGACAGAAAAGGGCAGGGCCAGGATCCTGGGCTGGTGGCCATGCTGAGATGGGCAGAGACATACATGGCTTCAAACCAAGGTATGCAGACATCAAGGATTCTAGAGCAGACAAAAGGTATCTGCCTCCAGGAAATGTCTCAGCTTGTCAAAGAAAATGATATGCATGCAAACTGTTTGCTGATCTGTCTCTTATTTTTGGTCTAGATACTATAAAGCAAATATCTTTGACAGTATGGTTACAAACATTTCTGTCAGTGTTTGTACCACAAAATGCTCAGGGTCCTTTTTAAATACAGCTTGGTCTGCATCTTAAATAGAGACACAGATGCTAGTTCTGGAAATGTTTTTATTGGATCTGGGGCCCAATCTGGGGGAGCTCAGCTTATAGCCTACTCAGCTGTCTGCTTCAGAGGCTCTTACCTTCATTCCTTTGAAACTACCTTGGGTATGGACAGGTTCACCTTTAGATCCTTTCTGACCAGGAAGCCCCTGAGTAAAATCAGAAAAAAATCTTGTGAAAAGATACACACACAGAGTTTTGTTAATAGTATGAACTGATCAGATAGAGGATGAAACAGTAAGAGGCTGAAATTATATGGATTATTCTGTGGCAGAATTGGCTATGCTAAGGGCCAAAGTACATCCCCAGAACAGCTGTTGTGTCTCAAAATCATATGCCCACTCCCCCAATTCCAAAATCTCTAAAGGGATTAGAAAGGAGGAGACTTTGAATCTATTCAGAGCAGTCAACTTTTTCTGTAAAGAGCTAGATAGTAAATAATTTAGGCTTTGCAGGCCATATCTGGGCTCTGTCCCATATAGTTTATCTTTATTTTTACAATCTTTTAAAAATTTAAAAAGAAGCCACAGGTCAAGGGTCATATTAGCCAGTTTGCTGACCCCTGGTCTAAGAGATATCTACAAAACTATCTCCATTTTGTGCTGCTACACACAACTTCAACACCTGTCCAAGAAGCCAGTGTGTCTCACTACCACAGAAAACAATTCAAAGTATGCCCAACCCATCTATCAACCAGAAATGTACTGCCTCATTGGCAGATGCCAGCTAACGTCGGCTAGATGTTGTCCTGTTGGGGAAAGTCAATGTCCCCATACTTAATGGGAAGTCAGGATTAGTATTGGGGGTAAGGTTAAATTTTGGGTACTGAAGCATTGATTGAATGATGATTTTTTGAGCTCAAAACTACAGTTATATTAAAAGAACAATGTGGTCCCAAAAGCACAAACAAGTTTCTTTCCTGACACTTCCTGTTTCCCCTTATACTTGTGGCCACTACTTTCATCAAAGAAATATCAAATAATATCCACTCAGGATTCAGCAGGTTATTAAGGTTCTGTTTAGTAAAATACATGTCCAAGCTCCTATTTAGGCTGAAAGGGAGGTTTGGGGACAGGATTAGGTTTTACCTTTTTCCTTTGACTCTCAGATGTTCATTACCTCAAGATTTCCTACTGTTGGGGGTAGCACTTCCTTTATTTCCTGGATATTCACTTTCCTAACACATATGTGATTTGCTCTCTTCTCCTGTTGCCATGGCAGTGTTTGAAGAACTTTTGACATAAACAGCTCATACTATGTTGGTAATACAACCCCCCTCCCCAATCGCTGCATATTGGTTTGATCCTTAGATGTCTAGGTTCTTTATGACAATCTGGGGCTTGTACTTTGTATGTATGTCTCACTTTCATATTTTATTATTTTATTTTATTAATTTTATTTTTCCTATCACCATTTATTCCCCCTATAATCTCTTCCATCTGCCCACACTCCTTCCCTCCATACTAGGTGTATCGGTTAATAATGTAGATTTTGTAATCAAAGAAAACACAATAACTTCAAGAGAAACATCAAAAGTGCTTTATTCAAAATAATGTCCATCGCTAGCTACACATTTCTCCCATCTTTCAGTTAATTTGTGGATACCGTCCCAAAAGAACTTTTCTTGTTTTGAGGCAAACCATTCAGAGACCCAATTTTCCAATTCTTCATATGTTTTGCAGTGCTGCTCAGAAAGTGCGTGTGCCATCGATCGAAACAAGTGGTAATCTGAAGGAGCAAGGTCTGGTGAATACAGCAGGTGGGTTAATACTTCCCAGGCAAGATCTTTTAACATGTCTTTAACTGGTTTTGAAGTGTGTGATGGTGTGTCAACATAAAGCAAAATTACTTTGCCGTGTCTTCTGGCCTATTCTGATCGTTTCATGATCAAAGCATGGTTCAAATTAATTATTTGTTGTCGGTAGTGATCAGTATTAACGGTTTCACCTGGTTTTAGAAGCTCATAATACACCACACCTTCCTGATCCCACCAAACTCAGAGCATTGTCTCCTTTCCGAAGCAATTTGGCCTTGTAGTCGATGCTGATGGTTGACCTGAATCAACCCATTATTTTGTGCATTTGGTATTCTCAAAATAAATCCACTTTTCATCGCCATTCAAAATTCGATGCCAAAAAGAATTTCATAAACTGATGAACAAAAATAGATACAGAGGCAGAGCAGCAGCGAACAGACTGTCAAACTACAGTGGGAAGGCCAGGGAGGGTTGTGGGGAGGGGCGCGGTAAGAGATCAACCGAAGGACTTGTATGCATGCATATAAGCATAACCAATGGACACAAGACACTGGGGGGTAGGGGAGGCCGGGGGAAGGTCAAGGGGGAAAAAAGGAGACATATGTACTACTCTTTGTAATACTTTAAGTAATAAAACAAAATTAAAAAAAAAGACTTTCTTTCGTGCTGCTGAAGCAACATTTTACTGATGACTTTTCAGTTTTCCATTTGTCTTTCGTTCAGTTGATGTGGCAGCCATTTTCCTTCCTTTAAAATCTTTCCCATTGCTTGTAATGATCAGAAATTGTTTGCTGAGCAACGTTTAATTTTTCTGCAAGTTATTTTTGAGTTTGACATGAATCTTCATCCAATAATGCTTGTAATTGTTGGTCTTAAAACTTTTTCGGTTGACCTGGACGTTCTTTGTCTTTCACATCAAAACCATCACTTTCAAAGCATTTAAACCAGTGTTCACAAGTATCTTGAGATGGAGCATGTTCACCATAAGCTTCCCGAAGTATTCAGCAGCACTTTTCTTCAAAATAAAGTAATGAATTAAAACTTTCTGCAAATGCTTTTTTGGCACGAAATTCAACATTTTTAAGCAAAAAAATATCTATGATGTTAACACCTTCAGCAAATTTGACATAGGAAGTTTTGAAGCTTGCTGTCAATACAACAAAATAGCATACATATCAAATCACATATATATCAACATTTATGTAACTCCATCTAGTTAAAAAAATCCTCATTATTAACCAGTACACCTAGTAATCACCACACTGTTGTTCCTGTCCATGAGTTCTTCCTCTTTTTTCTTTTTTTACTCAATCCCTCCCACAACACTCTCCCCCACCAGAGCTGTTTGCCTGCTCTCTATCTCTAAATCTGTCTCTATTTTGCTTGTTAGTTCAGTCTGTTCATTAAATTCCACATATGAGTGAAATTGCATGGTACTTAACTTTCTCTGAATGACTTATTTCACTTAGCATAATGTTCTCCAGGTCCATCCATGCTATCACAAAGGGAGATATATCCTTTTTATAGTCGAGTAGTGTTCTATTGTGTAAATGTACCATCGATGTTTTATTTACTCATACTGATGGACACTTGGGCTACTTTAAAATCTTGGTTATTGTAAATAATGCTGTAATGAACATAGGGGTGCATATATTCTTTCAAATTAGTGTTTCAAGCTTTTTCAGATATATTCCCAAAAGTGGAATTTCGGGTCAGAAGGCAGTTCCATTTTTAATTATTTGAGGTAACTCCATACTGCTTTCCACAGTGGCTCCATCAGTCTGCAGACCTACCAACAGTACATAAGGGTTCCCTTTTCTCCACATCCTCGCCAACACTTGTTGATTTATTGATGATAGCCATTCTGACAGGTATGAGGTGATATCTCATTGTGGTTTTAATTTGCATCTCTCTGATGATTAGTGGTGTTGAGCATCTTTTCATATGTCTATTGGTCATCTGTACATCCCCTTTGGAGAAGTGTCTATTTAGGTCCTTTGCCCATTTTTTAACTGGATTTTTGTGGGTTTTTTTTTTTGGTGTTCAGTTTTATAAGTTCTTTATAAATTTTGGATATTAACCCTTATCAGATGTATTGGTGGATATATTGTCCCCTTTAGTGGGTTGTCTTTTCATTTTGTTGATGATTTCCTTTGCTGTACAAAAACATTTTAGTTTGATGTAGTACCATTTGTCTATTTTTTCTTTTGTTGTCCTCACCCAAGGAGATATATCCAAAAAATATTGCTATGAGAAATGTCTGAGATTTTACTGCCTATGTTTTTAAAAATATGTTATTGATTTTTTACAGAGAGGAAGGGAGAGGGATAGAGAGTTAGAAACATCAATGAGAAAGACCGATCAGCTGCCTCCTGCACACCTCTTACTGGGGATGTGCCTGCAACCAAGGCACATGCCCTTGACTGGAACTAAACCTGGGACCCTTCAGTCCGTAGGTCGATGCTCTATCCACTGATCCAAACCAGTTAGGGCATTTTCTGCCTATGTTTTCTTCTAGGATTTTTATGGTTTCGAGTCTAAGTCTTTAACTTAAGTCTTTAATCCATTTTGAGTTTATTCTTGTGTCTGGTATAAGAAGTGATATAGTTTAATTTTTTTCTTTTGCATGCATCTCCAATTTTCCCAACACCATTTGTTAAATAGACTATCTTTAGCCCATTATATGTTTTTTCCTCCTTTGTCAAATATTAATTGACTATAAAGGAGTGGGCTTATTTGGGGGCTCTCTATTCTGTTCCATTCATCTATATATCTGTCTTTATGCCACTACCATGCTATTATTATTATTATTAATTATTATTATTATATTATTATAACGTGATGCCTCCCACTTTGTTTTTCTTACTCAAAATCACTGTTGCTATTCAGGATCTTTTGTGGTTCCATATATATATTCTTGGAATATTTGTTCTAGTTCTGTGAAATACTTGATTGGTATCTTGATAGGAATTGCATTGAATCTGTAGACTACTTTGGGTAGTATGGACATTTTAATGATTTTAATGATTTTAATACTATCTATCAATGAACACCGTATATGTTTCCACTTATTTGTATCTTCTTCAATTTATTTCTTCAGTGCCTTAAAATTTTCTGAGTACAGGTTCTTTACTTTCTTTATTTCTAGGTATTTTATTCTTTTTAAAGCAGTTGTGAATCAGATTGTCTTCTTAATTTCCTTTTCTGATAGTTAATTATTAATTCATGAAAATGCAACAGATTTCTGGATATTTATTTGTATCCTACTACTTTACTGATTCATTTATCAGTTCTAGTAGTTTTTGGTGAAATCTTTAGAGTTCAGTATCAAGTCATCTGCAAATAGTAACAGTTTTACTTCTTCCTTTTCAATTTGGATGCCTTTTATTTCTT